AAAGCCAAAAGCTCTCTCCTCCAGCCTGGAAACCTAGAGCAGAAGCCTGGAGAATAAACCCTGTCATCCAAGCACAGGGAAGGAGAGCACAGAGCTACAGGAGCCATGCTGGCCCAGGGACCATGTTCAGAAACAGATCAAGCTGAGTGTCTGTTAGTCTTTATTGCAGGTGGATTTGGCCTAAAGTTGAAAAATAAAAGGGGAAGGAGGGGAGGGAGATGCAGGAGAGTACACAAATCAGCATGAAAGTGCTATTTATTGTTTAACATTCTCATGAGAGGAATAGCATTTTTTTTTTTAATTTTGTGCTGGCTAAAGTTTATCTGAATAGTGTCACTGCCTTTGTGTCACTGGCTTTGGAAGTCTTTGCCTAAAATCTTATAAATATGTATGTGTATTTTATAAATATATATATAATTTATGTTAATATATCCCAGGAACTCAAAAATTATAATAGGTGTAACATAGTAATGATGATTCTAAAAAACCCTGTGGCTTCTGAATCCTGAATTTTTTTAAAAACTAATTTGAGCAATTATAAGCACCATTTGGCTGAGTATTTCCATGCACGCCAGACTGGGTTTTTGACAGCATGTCTCACACAAAGACAACTCGGCCAGCAAGGGCATTTCATTGGGCCTGAATAACATGAGTCAGTACCCAGGGATCGGAAGGACAGACCCTTGTCTTGGGATAAAGCTTAACTTGTTGGTTATGAGTCATCCGTGAGGATCCTTCTTGCTCCCCAGGCTGTGCCGCCACAGCTGTGATCAGCAGGATGTGCTATCCGTCCAAATTCCCTCTCTATAAAAGAGTGGGGCTTGGCAGGCTGCTCTCTTGCAAAATCTTTCGTTCCGTTTGGTTCAAAATAGCCTGAACTTGGTGACCTGCCAAGTACACTGGGAAAGACACCTGTCTGTGGGTTTTTTGGAAGGGGGCGGCTTCCCTTAATGAAGAAAGGGGAAGAAAAGTCTTTCCCTAAGTGGCTCAGGTTACATGAAAGTGGCTGCTGTCAGYGCTGATGGGGTCTTTTTGGGTGGCTTTAAGGGTGGTCAGGAATTGAGCTGAGGTCAACGGTCCTGCTGTTGCTAATATTATAAATTTTGTCACAGATTCCACTGAGACCAGAATTTATGCAWTCCTGCAGGTCTGATCCAAAGGACRTTCATGCTTGAGGAAAAGCTGTTGCTAACTTCAGTATACACTGGATCTGCTCTTTAGATTTGTCTGCTACAAACACGCACATGCTTACATTTGTGACAGTAAGTAATTATAATTTACTAATTCRCAAGCTGTATAAGTCCATGTTTAGGCTTTGGCACAATTAGCAATCTCAGGATTTTTATTTGTTTGGGCCACTCATACAGCAAACAGGAGAATCACAGAACAGACTTAATGTGTTACACACTGTTGAAGAAACAGAAGGAACAAGAAAATGTCAGAGACCTGCTGCAGCTTTTATGCTTTTAAAGAGCAACTAATCCCCAAAATGTAGCTGTTTCTGTGCAATTGCTAATATGCTGTTCTGTTTTTTTCTAAATTCCAGATACATCACATTCGTATGTTTCTCCTGGGATTTAAAAACAAACACTGAATGTTTTCCAGGCTCATATGTCTGCCTCCCTCACTACAATATGAACCTTGCTTGTACGAGTGCCAACATTTATTGATTGAAAACTAGAAAATCTCACCCCACTGGCAACCTACTGATCCCAGTGGATCAGTAGCATCTGATCCATTTTGCCCAGGGAGGATGTGTATGTACTCTTACCTGGGGCACAAAGACTTATGGAAGCTGAATGTTTTTTGAAATAAGATCATTGARCACGGCATGTATAGAGCTCCATTTCAGTAAATTCCTGTTATGAAGCAGTCCATGTGTAAGAGAAACCAGGAAACCTCATGCACGATTAGAGTTCAGCAGAGTGCTGTAATGCTTCATTCTATAMAGATTCCCCCGCCTCAGTGCAAGTCACAGCCAAGTTAATGTAAAAAGGCTGCTGATCTGAGAGCCCCAGACTGAATCACACACATGGTTTGACTGCCAGACGTGATGACAGCCTCCCTCTCCCAGCCACTTCAACTGGAGCGGCAGGTTCTCAGCACTTCTGTGCATCRGGAGCGTCGTTCTTGGCTGGTGCAAATGGTTGCAGTGCCAACAAGTGGACAGTTCGATACAATTAGCTCATAGTCCTGAGCTCRTTTTGACAGAAAGTTTTGTTGTAACTCATTGTCATTTAGGACTGGAAAGTTTAGAACAGTTATTACTAGATTACAGCACCTCTTAACCATTCTCTCCACTCTTTGTAAGAGGGCGGGATGAAAAGGAAGAAAATACACAGGAATCCATTAGGGATTTGTTGAGCTGAAACCTAGCATTTTCTGTATCTGTCACTTTAAACTGCCAGCTCAATAGTACACACCATTCAAAAGCTTGCTTACCTGTGCAAACCACTGTGTTAACTGCAGGTGCTGCATCTCCACACCACGCTGAATGCGTAACAAATCCATT